GGTGACAACAAGATTGGAGTCAACAAAACTATGGCCCAAGAATGGTTTTTATATTTTGAAATGGTTGAAAAAAATAAAAATAGTAATATTTCATGAGATGTGAAAATTATATGACATATTTCAGGGCCTACAAATAAAGTTATTCATAAACCAGTCAGGTTGATTCTTGTCTATGTTATGTCAGAGACTATACAACCCACAAGGCCTAAAATATTTACTATCTAGCCATTTATAGGGGGGATGCTGATACTTAAGAGAAAGGGAGCCTGGTGGCTCAGTGGTTAGGCATTTGGCTTCTAACTGGAAGATCACTGGATTGAACCCATCTGCCTCTCTCCAGAGATGTCTGATTTTATAAAGATTACAGCCTTGGGAGTACTATGGGGCAGCTTTGCTCTTTCCTATAGGGTCCCTAAGAGTCAGAATAGACCTGGTGACAGTGGGTTGGGTTAAGAAAATAATGCCATTTGAATAGGGATTGGGAAAGAAAAAAAAAAGGAATTGGGATAATTTGAGGGTAAAGATCTTTTAGTAAATATTAGTATCCACAGAATATTAGAAGTTGAGAAAAGTGAGGCTGTTCGTATTTCAGAAAGTACGAAGTAAGAATATGAAGATTGTATATTTTTCTCAAAGAAGAGAAGTTTGGCTATACCTTTTTCCAAGTGAAAGACCAAAGCAACATACCACCTTAGGTTTGTGCCATTAGCTCTTCTTATTTTTGTTTTTGCATGGGGACTTCAAAAAGATCATGAGAAAAAAATGGTATTAAAATGGTATTAAAAGATACTAGAGATTGTGAGCCCCCAATAAAATTATTTAACAAAAAAAGACTAGAATTTTTTTCTATCAACTTTTTGAAGCCCTCTTTTATTTCCCCCCCCTCTTGTATTTTTTGACAAGCAGTGGGCATGGTGTTGAAGAGAGAACATAATGATTTTTGCTCTTGACAATGAAAAAGATTCATTTTTCCCAGAACAAAATCAGACCAATATGAATGGGGGTGGGGGCGCAGAGTGGAGACCCAAAGCCCATCTGTTGGACATCCCCTCATAGAAGGGTCACAGTCAGGGTGCATTATAGCACTGATGAAACACACAACTTTCCTCTAGTTCTTTAATCCTT